TGACTGGTAAAGCTTGGATGCCTGAAATTGCTGCTTGCGGGCTTAGGGTTTGGCGAGTTTCTTGCTCCGTGGCTTTTTACGGCAAGACTTACTGTGTTTTACACCATGACTCACTAGTGCTTGGGGGGCGGTTCATGATAGAACCAAAGCGATGATCCCCGAACACGTGCTATTTCAGGGAAGAAGGTTTAGGGTTCAGGGGCTTGGGGTTTAGGAAATCATCTCATATGATTCATGCCCTTTACTTACCTTGAAACCCTAAACCCTATCTCGGCCCCTCCGGGTTGAGGCGAATCGGTGCTATTTGGGGTTTTGGGCATTGGACTGCGAGTAGGTGCGCTAGCCGCAGGTCCTAATTACTCACTGGATCCCCTGATGCATTAAGTAAGCGTCTTCTAAGCCGACAGACTATATGGAGGTTCATGGGTAATTAGTTATAAACATAAGTGGGGTTAGAAGTCCCCTTACTTAGGGTGATAAGTATAGTTAGGGGGCGTATAACCCCACTATAACTACCCATGCACCTCCAAGTAGAGAACTTCCACAGATACTCTGAAGAAAGGAATTGACTCCTCCTCCTTGGCATAGACCGCTGGTAGCCGGGGTTGAGCCTGGCGCGAACTGCGACATCACGTCCCAAGCTGCCTTACATGAGATTAGAGCTAAGCTCTTACATGATGCATGTCACCCAACTAAACCCTAAACCCTAAACCCTAAGCCCTAACCTCCAAACAAGAGCTGCAGGCTCAACTGTCCTGAAGCAAAGAACCGACACCCCGAACCCTCATCCAACCACTCTGTTCTAGAGGGTTTAGGGTTTCGGGTTTCGGGGGTATTCATTCTGTAAACGTGAATGAACCCTGTAGCATCGAAGTCCTGCCCTAAGCGGTAAACCACGGAAGAGCATGCCATTAACCGCGTGCCGTGTAAATTGGCCTGGGTGTTGAGCGTGTTTAGTTTGGTGGTTCGGGTTCGGGTTTCACCAGGCATTCAGATCTTAGCGATGCCTCACATACCCAACTGGACTACACTACCCGTGGTTCCATGGCGTGTCAGTCTAGACTCTGAATAACCTCATTTTACCACCAACTCTTTCCATCACTCCACGCACAAAGGGGCAAAGAATCCCGGCAGCAGGACTCTGTAGTGTGTATCGAGCCTCGGTGAGGGGCGGGGGTCTGGGCCTTCTTGCTTCGTGCTTTCTTGGGCTGCATGACCCATAATAAGGAATATACCTTAATTCCCATAGTTTAGGGCTGAAGTTACCTAAATAGCGGGTTACTAACCATAATTATGTACCCCAGTAACCTACTATTTAGGTAACTGGAGCCCTGGGGATCGTTTAGGGAACTTAAAGGCAATGCAGGATTTAGATCATCACCCGTATGAACCTTACCCAGAGACTCCAATATCCCTTTAATTTAAGGAATATACCTTAAAGTTATAATAGGAACCCTACTAAGATTATGGGTAATGCAGGATTTATATCATCAACCGTAGGGTTCCGGGTTTAGCTGAGGCCTCCCAAGTCTTCCCTGAAGGCCTCCCGAAACCCAGCGAGCCCAATACCCCTTAATTAAGGAATATACCTGAAGTACTAAAGGGCTTCATATTATGATTTAAGCTATATTCCTTAATTCAGGAATATACCTTAAATTATAAGGGGCTTCATATCATGATTTAAGCTATGTTCCTTAAATCAGGAATATAGCTTAAAATATTAAGGGGCTTCATATTATGATCTAAGCTATATTCCTGAATTAAGGGGTATTGGGCTCGCTGGAAACGGGACCCCTTCAGGTCACGGCTTCGCCTCTCCTCCATCAGAAGCGAAATTTTAGCAGAAACTCATCCAAAAAGGGGGGGGGGGGGGGTAGTTCTCTAA